CCTTTACCTCTCACATGACCACCTGCAAGAATTTCAGAAGGAAGATGAGGATGTACTTCCAAAGACATCACTATGACACTCTCAGGTAATCGATCACCTCCACTGTCGCACTTATTGGTCGTCAATCAGTGAATCTGCACAAGTACACTGGACACGTGAATATTTATGTGGCAGGCTTTTTAATTAATGACGTAGAGGGCATTGAAATATGTTGAATACTCCGGAGAACCATCAATATAGATTGAAACGGAAGAGGATGGAGACTGTGGAGCTCAGGCGTTATGAAGTTCTCCATGCTTGTACGGATCAAGACTGATTTTATACTTTTTGGCTGACATGAAAGGCCGGTACGCCTGTACACTTTGCGCCTGTACACTTTGTTGGTGTTTTTCTTGGGCATTATAAATAGTGATGGGGGTATATGGGTGAGCGTTCATAGATGACGGAAAGCTCTACAGAAATTTCTAAGGCTTGCTTCGAGGGAACGGCCCGCGATGGCCTATGAAAATGTAAACTTCAAATGAGTGGATTAGAGAATGAAATTGCGCTCCTTAGTGGACTACCCTGGACCTGTTTCTCAGAACGTTGTATAATGGAGGGGTAAGGCAAAAACTTCTTTTCAGTGGTTGCGCCACCGGATGAGTAGCTTGAAGGCTCGGTCCGCGATCAGGTATAAAAGTTGAAAATATGGCGTCGGGAGGGTAGTGTGGTCCGCGGCGAACAACCTTGTACCGGTTTTGTGGCAAAAAGTTGTAAGGGAGGTGCGCTATGCAGCAATATAGGTTTAGTGGCGCCTCCTTATTTCCACTGGCTCCACCCAACCTCCGCCCTCAAAAGCAAGGCCCGTAATCAGTGGCCATCACAGACAGTGGATTAAGGGTTCGCATATAAACGACAAGTTTCTGAGTAACTCGATAGTGAAGAAAAAAAAAGCAGAAAAAACATGCCAACTGCCCTAGATAGAACCCCATTTCGATCCCAGTTTGTACGTGCCCAATTACTCCATCTCCAACACTACGCCCTCATCCGCACAGCTGATTCCCCGATAAGAACTCTACGACCGTACAAGTGACGATTTTCATGCTTTGCTTCTTCATTTTTCACTGAAAGGAGGGATTCGAGGGGGAGCTTGGTAGGCGGCGTGGCAGTTGGGAAATAAGGACGGTGTTTCAAACTATATTACGCAATTAGACGCCTCTCCTTACGCATAGATAATTGTTTTTTTGTTTTTTTTCGCAACAAACCTGTAGTAAGTTTGTTCGTTCGAGGAACACACTACCCTCCCACACCGATATTTTCAACTTTCATATCTGATGATTGGACGCCTAACCTTAAGGTCCAGCTTCTCGGTTATTGAAGAACGCACTGCGTAGAGGAAGAATTGAAATTCGTCATTTTGTAGCGGGCATATGTATGTAGTTCTTATCGTGTAGTTGTGCGGCGTTGAGGGGTCGTATGTATTTGGAGATGAGAGTCAGTAGTGGCAGAGTACAAGCGGTGCGAATGGATCTGTCCAGGGCGCTGGCATGTGTGTGTGTGTGTGTGTGTGGCTTATTTTTTTTCTCTATGAATATCAGCCTTATTTGTTTTTTATGGTCCATATTCATATCTTGAGAGAGAGGCAATTTTGGGGTTTTAGGTTTCTCAGAAATGGGGCTCCACGGTTGCTTGTAGGTTACTGCGACTGTCACATGAGGAATATTAGTAGACGCGCAATCTCCGTAACGTGGTGTTTGTGCATGTACTTGCCACAACGTTAGACTCGTTTGTAGGGTGACACACGCGCGCAATCAGGC